ACACTGGGATGACTTCTGCACTGCCAGCCCCCACGGTGACTGCCCCATGGCAATGCAGGCTCCCCCCGCCATGGTGCCCCAGAGCTAAGGTTCATGGGTCTGCCACAAGGCTCTTGCCGCTGGGCCAGAGCATCCCCGGGAACAGCCATGGTGGTGACCCCCAGCATCCTCAGGCACTTCTCCTGCCACCAACCCACAGGCACCACCAGAACCAGAAGGTGTGGCACACCCTCCCTCACAACAGAATAGCCACACGTCCCTCCTGCTTCAGTGCAAAAATGCTCGTCTTTATTCAAGCGAGGAAAAGACCACCTCTCCTATGAGGACAGGCTGAGAGAGTTGGGGTTGTTCAGCCTGGAGAAGAGAAGGCTCCGGGGTGACCTTATGGTGGCCTTCCAGTCTCTAAAGGGGCTACAGGAGAGCTGGGGAGGGATTCTTGACCAGGGAGTGGAGCGATAGGATGAGGGGGAACCGTTTTAAATTGAAAGAGTTGCGATTTAAATTAGATATTAGGAAGAAATTTTTACTGTGGGGGTGGTCAGACTCTGGCCCAGGCTGCTCAGAGAAGCTGTGGATGCCCAATTCCTGGAGGTGTTCAAGGCCAGGTTGGACGGTGCTTTGAACGATGACACCAGGACCATGATGGGAGTCTCCAACCTATGAGCACGCAGGCACCCAGCAGGAGCAGTGCTTCCACTCCTGCTATCACACCACCTGGGGATGGTGTGGGAGGGGGAGGCAGGGAGGGGAGACGACATCAGAAGGTGGGTCCAGAAGAAGGAAGGATGACGTCCTGCTCAAAAAGTAGGTCTTCAATTCCATAAACTGGACCAAAATAACACACCATAGAGTCACCTGCTTTTATTTTCTTTTCCTGCTTTTTCTTTTTCTCAACATGTATCACCTCTTCTAGATAATAACAAAAAGGATATATTAAGAATAATCTCAATGGAGATAATACCTAGTCCATATTGCAGGTAGCTCTCCTCAGCGGTGGCAACCTTGGCAGAGACATCAGGGAGACGATCCTGAGCCTTATGCTACCAAAAAGCTGCTCTTCTCCAGCCAGGCTGTCCCTGGGCTCCTTCAGCCCCACTCAGAGCAGCTCCAAGCACCTTTCCTTTCCTCCCCTGGCCTCTCCCTTGCAGCCTGTGAAGCACTGAGCCATTAGACAGTCATGGGCACTTAAACACAACAGCAACTCTTGCTGCCATCGCAGTAATATTTCTACTTCCAAAACTTACGTTTTGCAGCAAAAGAAAAACCTTGAACATTTCCCACTGATGACAAAGGGGAAAGAGCACTTCAGAAATCCACAGTAGCCATTTTGTCGTTGACATTCTTTCTTATTTCCTGGAGCCAGGGAGGACCCTGCGCAGTGATAGAGGTGGAAGAAAGTGAGTTTAGGGTAACTGGTAAAAATGTTCATGGTTCCAGAGGGGCTGATGCTGCCCCTGGATCTCAGGATCCCACACGTACCAAGCACCAAACCCAACAGCTTTACCTCTCCACTATAAGTTTTCTTTTCTGCAGCAGTGTTTGTGTATGCTTGTGGGGAAAGTCATCAGGAAAGACCAGTATGAGGTCTGGGAATTTCCAGGCTGTTTCCTCAGCTGCCCAGCCATTCATCAGAGAAAATCCCTCCCAAAGGTACATATATCTGACAAATCTGGTCACTTCCCAGGACATGGAGGACCCCACTGATGAGGGCTCACACCTCTCCCCACCTCCCCTCTTCCCCTCTCACCTGCAGCACCTTGGACCAACAGGAGGAAGAAGGGGAAGAGCAGGTACAGGATCTTCATGGCTGGTGCCTACCCCAGGTCTTCACGGGGCAGCAGGCAGGGAGACACCAAAACTCCTGGAGATGACAACACACAGCGATATGACAAGTTGCAGAGGGGCTGCCTCAAGTAACAGGGGACGATGTCTTCTGTGGCCTGTTCCCAAGGATCTCTCTCAGATATGCACTTTCTGGATATCCTGGGAGCAGCTGGGGAAGGATTGGCCTGTTGGGCAATCCAGCTGATGTTTTGCCATCATCTTATTTCTCACTTTTTTCTTTGCATTTTCTTAAAGGGCACACGGGAGAAGTAATGCCCGACTGTCGCAGTATTAAGCAAAACAACATTCAAAGACAGGTGGAAAATGCAAAGAGACTATTTTCCCTTGGAATCTGTACTCCCTCAGTCCTTATGCATCCAACATTTATCTCTTGAGGAGAACTAAACATGCGGAGTCCTGCGCTCGGGTCACAACAACCCCATGCAGCGCTACAGGCTTGGGGAAGAGCAGCTGGAAAGCTGTCTGGCATGACAAGGCCTATTGGTGTTGGTCAACAGCCATCTGAATATGAGCCAGCAGTGTGCTCAGGTGGCCAAGAATGCCAATGTCATCATGGCCCATATCAGGAATATAATGAGAGTTGAGCACAGGTGGAGGAAAGGCCGTGGCAGATAGGGACAATCTGAACATCCTTCAGCAAATTCCCCAGTTCAGGAAAGCAATGGCAACAAACGCTTTGCCTTCTTGGAAGGGAAAGGCCTCACTGAAACAAACAGGGTCACTAGTTGCTCACACACACACGGATGCGTCGACACACACATGTATCAAACCACTCAGGGAACCTAAAGCATGGGGTTTGCTTTTGCAGACAAGTAGAGGTCACTGCCTTTGATGGAGAAGAGCATGGCCATCCCAGATTGCGTCCAGGTGGGCAGGGGGGAAAGGACACACTGCTTACTCGCTGTGGGACTACAAATTTGGCCATTTCCGGGCTATAGTCCATGGGGCCAATTTTGCGGGTCCCCTGAAGCAGGAGCTGCATGGCCTCCTCCTGCCTGGTGGGACAGGGTGTGAAGTAGCAAAGCTCCAGCAGGGCCCATAGCAAGGAGGACAGCTGTATGCTGGAGCAGGATAAAGAGGAGGGTCATCAGGGCTTCTAGGACCGGTTGGGTGGGCAGGCCTGGCCATGCCCACCCAAGGGACACATCACCCTGGACAACCCTGCGCATGCAGCCGTGACTGTCAGGGACAAAGGACACCCATGACAAGCAGGACCAGGACAGGGCTCCTGCTCCCCAGGAAGAAGCAACCACAGAGCAGATCCATCACACCCACAGCATAAAACCTAGGCCAGCAGGGACTGCCTGGATAGAGGTCCCCACACCATTGACAGGAAAGAACATCCCCAGAGACAGCCGTGGTGGTGACCCCCAGCATATCCCCAGGTGCTTCTCCTCCACCAACCCACTGCCACCCCCAGAGCGATCAGACACAGAACACCCTCCATCACAAGGAAATGGACACACGTCCCATCCTCTGCAATGCCAAACTGCTCATCTTTATTCAAGCCAGGAAAAGCAGACTCTGCCCCAATGACACCAGGTATGTGACGGGATGTCTCCAGCCCATGCGTGCCTGGGCACCCATCAGGAGCAGGGCTTCCACTCCTGCTGTCACACCACCTGGGGACAGCTGAGGCAGGGAGGGGAGAGGACATCAGGAGATGGTTCCAGGAGCCAGAAGCAAGGGGGACCAACATGCTCAAAGTGTTCAAGGATTCAACCCCAGGCACTGTAAGAAGAAAGCAGACGAGCACATCAACTGTTGTAACTAACTTTTCCCTTCCTCCCGCTCACTCCCACCTCCCCTGCAATGACAAGCAAGTCTATGGGCAAGAGAATCAGGCTCAGCAGACAGAGATTTAGTCCTTGTTGCAGATAGTTTGGACCTGTGTTATCTCCAAATCTTTGCAGATGCAGCAAAACCAGGATCCTGTCCTCGATGCTGTCTAAGGACAGTGAATGCTTCACTCTTGGTGAGCTTGGGGGAGCCCTCAGCAAAGTCTGCATGAGTGTCATGGGAGTGAAGGAGAGTGGGGAGGTGCTGCCTGAGCTTGGGCTCCTTCAGACCCTCAGCAGGCAGGTCCAGACCCATGAGGGCTTTTCCCTTTCTTCTTGGGCATCTCCCACAAAGAATAAACGCAAGAGAGAGTTTACCAGGCATTGGCGAGAAAGATATTTTTAACAGATATTTCTGTGGACAAAGGCAGAAACACTTTCCTCAGCCAGGGACATAGACCTTACCTTCTGCAGCATGCATAGAATATTGAACATCTTCCGAGAGATGCTGCACGGGGGCGACAGCGCCCCAAGGTGCAATATCCCCCTCTTTGTGTGCATCCAAATGAGTTTCCTGTTTCCATGGGGAATGCTGCGCACAAAACAATTAAAGGCATAGTCTGGTATCAGTGTGTGGCTGTAGAAAGGCTGACACTCCCCATGCATTGCACGCCAAGATATGGGCTCAGCTTCGACCTCACCAGAGCCACATCTTCCACGGCAACATGTCTCACCTGCAGGGACTCTTTCGTTGTCAGGTGGGTGCCCACAAGA